CATAATTTATAATTTTGAATCTAGTTAAGTTCGTTTCATATACCAGAATACGCTTTAACGACATTTGGATCGAACGACTTTAAAATTGGACTCGTTGAACTTTGACTGTTACACGCGAATTCGAAAAAGCAGTTCAACAACTAAATTGCTAAACGGTTTGATTATGTGAACCGCACTACAGAACACTGCCCTTACCATCTCTAAGAGTATTGGGATACTTGAAGTCGACATCATGAACGAAGACCAGTTACGGGGTCATTTGGAGAGCAAGATAGAGATATAAGATACAAGTACGGCCCCTTATGGAGTATTGCTTGCATCTCTGGGCAGAAGCCTAAAAATCCAGCTTGACCCACTTGACTCCATCCAACGTAGGGCTGTTCGTATTGTCGACGATCCCAAACTCGCAGACGGTATGGAGTCCCTTAGCCTACGGAGAGTCGTTGGCTTGCTCTATGTGTTCTACGGTCTTTATAATGGGGAGTGCTCTAAGGAACTTTTCGAACTGGTACCACTGTCTCGTTTTAACCATAGCACCTCCAGCCAAAGAAGTAGAGTCCATCCACACAACTTAGATGCCTGTCATTGTAAGACAACACGGGCATCTCGTTCGTTCCTTCCTTCCTCGAACCTATAAGATGTGGAATGATCTTGACGCTATTACATGGGGTTCTTCAAAAAGCGTGTTCACATGGCTCCCAAAGGCTGGCAACGCGTAGGCAGCTTATCTGATGTTGCAAATGTTTATGGGCGACGATGACCACCTCCCATCAAGTGGCTCGTCTGCTCGTTTGCCTCCTTCTTTAAATAAAAATAAATAAAACTTTCAAAATCGAAACGCAGTACTTCGACAACGACGACGACTCTTTCTCAAGGAAGCTCTACGGCCGTTTCCTCAAGTTCCTACTTGGTGCTCCTACTGGTAGGAGCATGAGGACTAATATGTCCTTATGTTCCTATAGTGACGTCGTATCTAATAAGCTCACTGAACTAGAATAAAAAAAATATCAAAATAAAAAAGTCATATAATAATAATAATAATAATAATAACAACACACACACACTCAACATAGCCCCGCACTTGGGAAACCCTGTGTCGCGGGTGCCATGGACACACATAGACAACCACAAATTACACCCAAACTCACGAGAGAAACAAATATTTCTATATAGGTCATACAAATATTTCTCCCGGCCCGGGAATCGAACCTGGGACCTCTGCGTGGCAATCCGGCATGGTAACCGTTCGGCCACAGAGGCAGTTGATCCGTAGATCCTTAATATCTTTACAGGTAAGAAGAAAATTACACTTGAAATCGTCTCTACCGCTCTTTCGTAAGGCAGATTCCCCTGAGAAGAATTATCTAAGATAATATTATTAAGAGCAACCCCTAAAGTAAGATACTTTAGGGGTTGCTCTTAAAAATTAATATAGTCATTTAAATGTACATACGGAAACAACTTAAACGAGTTAAAGGGATCTAGTGATCCGTGGATTTTTGTCATTCATGTACATACGCAGAAGTTGTGTAATAACTTTTAGTATAAAGTTTTTCTTTTATTAAACCAGTAGGAGCATGAGAAAACGGTCAGCTCTACTGCTACCATAGCCTTGCGAGGTTGTTTATAAATATTTGTATTCTGCAAATAACCTTGTATACTGAAATAAATAGGAATGAAATCCAGTATCTCTTCCATAGGAGGCAAGCGTCACCTCTGCCAGCTCTCACACTGTGGTAAAATGTTTACAGATCGGTGCGATCGCATTTTGGTGAGGATGAGGCGTGTTACATTATGGATGCTAAGGTTCAAGGCAACATCGGCAGATATCTCAATGTGAGTTCAACAATACAGACTCCTAAGCATGTTGTTATACGAGTTGCGTTCCAACTAATCGTAATTCCAAAAACTGTACAGAGTACTGAAAGAACCGACCTCATATTTTCTTTAAATTTAAATAGGACCACGTCTGAGGTACCAACAAAAAAAGAATCTTCAAAATCGGTTCACAAATGCCTTAGGAGTTATCGCGTAACATACATACAAAAAAACACAGTCAAATTGAGAACCTCCTCCTTTTTTGAAGTCTGTTAAAAATATGTATGTGCTGTTGGAAAGCTTGTAATCTTCTCAATTAAGATAATATATATTTCTTTCATTATAACTTAATCTCATACAAGTAAAAGAAACTGTCTTTTTTGAAGATGGAGTAAAATGCACAATCTACTGTAGATTGTGCAAAAGTGTTGCCCGCTTGCAAGCAGCTAGTGAATATTCTATCGACTACCGACTGAATGTTGGTAACGCTTATGCAATAAACTGATAAACAGCCGAATGTGTTTCCTTCGAATCATCAGCGACCTATTATTCGTCCAAGGCACAGGTTAATTTGAATTGTCAATTTTTGTAAGTTCATACATACATACTCTGCATTTAGAACTACGTGTATTAAAAATACAAAGAGGAGACATATTTTAATGTTTTTAATTTTATTTCAATACAAATACTCCACGTATATCAGACAAGCGTGCGAAGAGGCTTATAGGTGACTCGGAATTAGTAGAGGCGAAGCTGCAGAGCCTTGAACACCGCCATAAAGTTGCCTGCTTTTCGGTATTCTACAGGATATATCACGGAGAGTGTGCGATGGAATTATACGATTTAATTCCGCCTTACCCTTTCCACTTGGCTTGGATTTCAGCCCTGTGTTGTGGATATTCTAAAGATTCATACGAAGCGTTATGTTGCCACATTTACATGGCGAACGGCTATGGATTGGAATACCCTGCCTGCAGACTTATTCCCTAAACGTTAAAACTTGGACCTTTTCAAGGCAAGAGTGTATAGGTATTATTTAGGTGTGCATGTTCCATCGTTGACCTCATCGTCACTTTCCATTTGGTGAGATGGAGGTCAAAATAAGAATGAAAAAGGCAGTAACTCAATTAGTAATCATAAACATTAAACGCGTATCATTGTACTGTTTATTAATATCTAGTTTTTATTACACTAGTTAAAATTTAGCACTACTCTTATTTATGTCTTCCCCTGCGCTGACAATATTATATTCGCAACAACCGTAGTATGATACCAGCGTGCAGTTGGCGTGCAGATGCACTCACTGCTATTTTGCAGTTGAAATGCAGTAGGAATGCAACTCGTATAAACGTGCACACATATCATGAAACTTGGCCAGTGTAAAGCTGAGAATGTAGATTTAAATATTTTCGATATGTTTTCTGAATTTTTTTGTACCTGATTGACCATTCAAATCTTTATTGCCCTGTTACATGTTGTCCCCGTAGATTTTCAGTATTTTTTTACATAAAATAAAAAGTGGTTTATAACTGCAAAATTTAAAACTATTATGGTTTTTGTACGCAAACTTCTATTCACCGGGTCAGATTATGGGCTGTGTATGATCTTTGCAAACTTGAAAGTTTGGTATATATATTAATCAATGCATATAATAAAGGTTTAACAATGACATTTTTATGAAACAACCCCTAAGAGAGGGTGAATCAAAGTTTATATTGTTTTTTTAACCTCTGCTCTGATTTCCGTCTTACGTTTCTTTTTTCAAATCTTTATTTAATTTTGGGAATTCTCTTCTAGATAACATGCCAGTCCTATCATAACCTTATTCTAATTGTCATACAATTTACAATAATTAACTGAAGATCAGCCTTATTTCACGATTTACCCGGTTCATTTTACACGTTTAACACTGGCCTAATATACTTTATTATTTTCCAGCACTCCTGCTGTCCCAACGTCTTCGTGCAAAACGTTTTTGTGGACACCCACGACCCACGCTTCCCCTGGGTAGCTTTCTTCGCCCTGTCCAACATACGAGCGGGTACAGAGCTAACGTGGAACTATAATTACGACGTAGGTTCGGTGCCCGGCAAGGTGCTATATTGCTTCTGCGGGGCGCCTAATTGTAGAGGACGACTATTGTAAATTGGACAAGGTTAGAATTTGAAATAGTGTTGGATTTTGACTTTTGACATTTTGCGTTGTACTTTTTTAGACTTGTATTGTTTACAATATCGTCGCCTTACTTCTCAAACTCGTATCTTAAAGCACAAAGTTACTGAAATGCGAAAAATGGATTGTATATACAAATTTTGCAGGCTGGCACACACTGGCTTTGACCTATTCTTAGGGTCGTATTCTAGAACTCTACTCAACACTGGAAATACGACCCTAATGGCAGGGACTTGAGTATGATTTCGAGTGCTTTAAACCATACTCAAATCCTGACTTGAACATTGAGTAGAGTTCTAGAATACGACCCTTAGAGTAATGTATCCAAATCAACACCCTTGATAAGAAATTTAAAATAAATAGAATGTTTTGCTATCTCCTTCATAGTCACTATTTATAAGATACGAGTATGAGAAATAAGGCATCGACATTTACCCCATAATGCATAGTTTACTCTACGCATCGTATATAACCAGAAATAGAGACGAAATAAGGGTATTCCATCCCTGGCAACGCATCAGGCAAATGGGCCTTATATCACTTTTAAATATCAACTCTCGTTTGCACTGAAATCACAAATTAGAATGCTGAAATACCAACAACTGACTTCAAAAATATTCTGTATTTATTGTAATAAAGATAATATGGGGGCTGTACCATTCGGTGGTGTGGAAAAAACAGCAAAACATCTAATAACAAAACAAACGAAATCACATTTCATCCGTGATTAGATATTAAATATGTAATCTTTAAATTTTCAAGCTCAAGTTCTGGTCGATTTGAAGTGAAACAATTGACGACACTCGTCAATTCGGGCTAGCTAATCGGACAGCAGTTGTCACCGTAATTATTTGGCAGAATAGTTTTGAAACAAATTAAATGACGTCTCTAGTTCTGGTTATATACTCCATGACTGCGTTATTTGGATAGAAATTAATGAAGTGAAAACATAGAATATAATTTTTATGATGTAACGTTGTCCTACCAACAATTTACAAAAAACGTTTAATAAAAAATCATCGTAAAAATATTAAAATCAAAGCGACTGTATAGTTTCTTTGTTTTAAATATTTCAATCGCTTGTGTTTCGACCAATAATTGAAAATGACTAAAAAGTTTATATAAGCTTTTTGAAATTGACGGAATGGGTCTCTTTTCATCTTTTGCGCATGCAATGTGTGTTACGATTCATTTGTATATAAATTAAATACTGTACAACACAATATATTTGTTTAGTGAAAATATGATACAAAATCCTGTTTTTACACTTTACTGCAGTAATTTTTAACAATTTAATATATAGTACTGCGTGAATGACAACCGCGCTGCCAGTCGAACAAACAAAGACTTGCGCGATTGGCGCTCTGTATGCGATTTTAACGCCCTATAGGTGCGGACTCTTTTTAGCGCGAACCCAACGTCCATTTGTTGGTAGGTCAATAATTAAAAACATCCAGCAGAGATCCCAGGTTCGATTCCCTGGCCTAGAGAAATATTTGTATTAGGCCATACAAATATTTCTCTCACATTATTATTTATACTATGAAAAGCGATAGCATATTGAATTGTAAAATTTGAGCATAGATAAACACGAGCATGCTAGGCTTTACGTTTAAGTTTTAAATTCATCTCTAAGCCTATAACTATAAGGACGGTTTTAAGTCCAAATCGAAATAGTGAATATATTCTTCATTTTGGGAGTTTAGCTTTTAGTTTAATTAAAATAACATAATCGTAATTAATAAGCAATCAATATCTGTTTATTATTAAATATTGTAATTCTAAAGCTCAATTTACATTGCTGCGTAACTGTATGGAAGCTGCAATTATTAATAAAAAATTACGAATACGAATAGTAAGGAAAATTCCTTCGCATACCGTGTCTGAGTAATTACACAAAAAATAATTGAATATCAATTCAATTCAATTCAAATATTTTTATTCGAGTAACCAGACTCATAATGTTAGTAAATACAGAACTTATCCTAGGGTTAATATTGAAACATTTAAAACTTATCTGGTCCGTCCCAAAAGTATCGAACATTTTTTAGGAAAAATACTTTTATTGAACTTATCGGTACCATACATTAGTACTCTTCAAAATAACACCCTTCAGCACCGATGCACTTTTGTAGGCGAATTTTCCATGCCCGGAAGGCCCCCTGGAAGACGTCAACGGGTAGGTCCTTCAGCGCCCTCGTCGTAGCTTCTTGGATGTCCTTAATTGTGCCCCAATGCTTGCCTTTGAGCTTCGACTTGATGCTGGGAAACAAGAAGAAGTCTGCCGGGGCGACGTCAGGACTGTAGGGAGGCTGCGGGACCAGCGGGCTTCGTCGGTCACCTCTTCCCTTCCGTCACGGAACATCTTGTGCCACTTCCTGACCGAGGATTCGGACAAGGCTTTGTCCTTGAAGGCCTGTTTAATCATCTCGTTGGTTTCCACAGTATTTTTGCCGAGTAGAACACAAAATTTCACTGCGTACCTCTGTTCTAACGGATCCGTCATCGCGCTACTTTTAAAAACTTCGACGAGGTGTCGTTTAGAGCTCTACGCGAACGCACGTCCTGCCGCTCCAGGTGCTCGGAGCCAACTGGGACCGGTCGCGCTGTATCGGCTAGATCCCCCCACCACTTTCTGTTGCCAAGCGGAGCGCTTCCCGCCGTTCGGCAACACTCCCAAAAAAAATGTTCGATACTTTTGGGACGGACCCTGTAATTATACATTTTGGTGCATGAAGCCCACAACAGTGTCTAATGTAGGGGCAGTCAACCCTGTCCCCTATCGCATTGAGAGCGGAGTTGGGGCTGGCCCGCACTATATCGTGATACAGTCTGTTCCAACCCATTTTAAACGAAATGTAAACAAAACGGTTTGATTTAATTTCTACAGCAACCACTAAATAAGTCGAATAAGTAACACTCTCACGTATATTTCGAAGATTTTGACTTGATATAACAATACTCATTTGAATAATATCGTAAAATCATTATCAGTCATTGGAATGCATAGTTCTGTACGGAAGAAAACATTCAGTTCGTTCAATTAAAGTTTTTGTAATCAATTAGCAAATCGAAAATTTCAATTCAACCCGTCACATCGCAATCGAACGAGTATCCAAGTGTAAGGATTTAAAGTTAAGATTTCGGGAAGTTTAAATATGCTTTTATAGGTTATGTAATGAAAATCGCTAGCATGACTCAATTAAGCAAATCGATTCATTCAATGAATTAATCGATTTGTAGTTGGCATTACAATTGGCCATCACTAAACCGTCTATGATCGGGTCAGTGACTGTTTACTTTTTATTTCTGCCTCTGTGGCCGAACGGTTACCATGCCGGACTGCCACGCAGAGGTCCTAGGTTCGATTCCCGGGCGGGGAGAAATAGTTGTATGGCCTGCAATTATTTCTCTCGTGAGTTTGGGTGTAATTTGTGGTTGTCTATGTGTGTGTCCATGGCACCCGCGACACAGGGTTTCCCTAGTGCGGGGCTATGTTGAGTGTGTGCGTTATTTATTATTATTGTTTAAAATGGTTTGAAACGAAGTATAGTAAAACGTCGTGACATTATATTAACTTAAAAATTGTATGGAAGCTATTTTTTTGTGACGAAATTGTACATTGCATAATAATTATGTTATTTGGTAAAGTGCGACTAGATACGAGAGTTGCGGAAATTCCCGAGACAGCCCGAGAATTCTCCGGAAGACGCGCGACCTATTTTTTGGATCATATCTAATTTGTATGTTACACATAAAATTCATTAAGCTATGGTTACAAAAATTCGTTTTCATTCTGCTCCGCGATAATGTAAATTGTAAATTAAATGGTTTTTGAATAAAACTTGAATGAACACCGCTCTCCTAAAAACATAAGACTTAAAATTATGTTACGTTACCGTAAGAGCCTAGTTTAATACCTTGCGTAGGATTACCGTGACTAATTGTGGACCGTATGTGTGACATGTCGTAGGTAATTAGAAAAATAATGTTGCCTCTTGAATCTTTTTAGCTTTAATGTCACGTCTGCGTCGTTTTATATTACGTACAAACCAGTTACATTTGGACTCTGCCCATGTTACGGAGATTTTAAAAGACCTGGCTTTGCCACTGTTACAGAGTCTATGTGTAACTTGTTAATGTTTATAACTGTAAAATTACTTGCATATGGTATTAATAACTATGCCACGTTTAAAAACGTCAAATGGTACAGATATTCCAGCGTCACGCAATAGAGTTTTTACAGTTTGACTTAAAAGTCGTTTTAGTCGTTGCTATACGGAAATAAGTAGTTTTAATCGATCCGATGTTTAAAGACCAACCATTCTTCAATATCGAGAACCACAACACCTAACACAGATATAATTGCGCACTAAAGAAGTCTTGCTTTCGTAGGTTCTGAGCTTAGATTATGGAAACCAAAGGACATATAATATTGACATATAAATCAGACGTCGTACGTATATGATGCATTTTAACGTTGAAAACTTAAACATGTTATTGTCTGTTTATGCGCACCGTCGTAAGGCAAAAGAGACAGCATTACATTGGTCTGTGCCAAACAGGAGAATTGAAAATACGTAACGTCATCTTAAATGCCAACTGTGTCCATTTCGCCATTTTTACAGTACAGCTACGATTGGCAAATGTCAAAACCAAGTGTTTTAATGAATTGTAATAAAATGGACAAAAATATTGACAGTGAGAACAATTAGATATTAATAAAAATGCGGCGCTGCAGCATTAAGGGATGTGGCATTAAAAAAGGCGAAAATCAACCGAATGTTACATTGCATATGTGTTATTTATCTGGCCATAAATCATATACTAGTCCAAATATCTCGTGTAATTAGACTTATTTAAGTAATTTATTCATAAATCTTGGCAAATTTTGGTTCGGTTATTTTAGATTGCCTATCTGCACATTTTGAAGGTGATTGTTAACGATTATTTTGAGATGCATATTATCGATATACGCACAAATATTATCGATATTCTGTTATTAACATAATTACTACGATGTTTTTATTATTATTATTTAAAGTATATTATCTACAAATGCAAAAAAAAGAAAGAATGGTTGGAAATCATAAGACTGCCGAATATAAACATTGGATCAAAGATTTGTTCGCTTCATTTTGAAAAGTCAAATTTTAACATAACTTTGAATGTAACTAGATTACTTGATAATGCAATTCCATCATTAGGTTTATT